GGGGGTATGCACGAAAAACATTCTTACGACTTATGTACGCATTTAGAGGTTGACAATAACCAAGACGCACTTATGCGTCATTCACAAAATTCGTAGTTGCAACGTCCTAGCGGGTATGAAAGCACTGTTTAAATTTTATACATAAGTGAAAGTCTTACTTGAAACTGACTACACTTAATTCACCCATGTTGTTTGACGAAATCGGGACTCACATTAAAAGCACTTCCTGTTGCTTACTCAAGTTTCATCTAGAGAGGGTGCGTTTCTTCTTCTTTTAGCGGCTATTTCCTTTCACAGTCATTTTTTCTTCTTTCACTTTACAATTGGATTTCAAGGAATTATAGAGTGTTATTTGGAGTTTTTGGAAACAAATGAAATGTACGACAACTCACTCAAATGAGCCATTATTAGTGGTTATCGCGGTTAGCGCAGTTAGCAGACCATCCACACCGGACACTGTTGGTGTGAATTTTAATTATCCAGTATATTCGTGCTAAATCTGAGTACCCGCAGTCACCATGACGGAGATGAAGTGCGTTGAGTAAGTTCATACGTCTTGCTTGTGGGCAAGTTACTTGATATCGTACTTCTGTGAATGAAGCTCTTGCGCAGGCAACGCCCCCAAAGGCGGGATGGCTAGTAGTGAGTACTCACCCCTCCGGTCCTGAGGAGTTAGCGCTCCAGGTTTTGGGTTTCGGTTTAAGGGGTGTTTTGGTCGTGTTAAAAGATTGATGCATAGGGGTACAACGCTGTATAGTACCCGGTATTTAAGCTCCGTGTGAAAAGAACACCGAGCTCATGATGAAGGTAGAGTACTACCTGGTGTTTAGGATCTACACAGGCTCATAGCCAGTTTCATAGTAGCGAGAGATTATTCGACGCTTCAAAACAACGTAAATTCAAATTATTGACTATGTAAGTCACTTGTTAAGGCTCCTTCCTGTAGTCACTGGTAGTAAATGAGGCAAAGTGACTGGCTCAAAATTCAGAAAGAAATGTTCACCCAATCTCCTCGATGTTGTTTATAGAGTTACATCACCTACTTCAATTGTTCGCATTGATCTTGTTCACAATATCTTCTTTGTGCTGGAAGTGGTGGGGAGACTGACTCAGCTTACTCGACCGCTGAGGTGTATCATATTTCCTCCAAAAGAAGAACTTTCTCTTGAACCATGTTTTGAAATTCGACCATGTTTCCGTGTAGGACGTGTCAATACCGTTAGCTCGACCATACATGTATCGCTCCTCATTGGGTAAGTGCATGGTGCCCTTGTCTTTATTCGCAGTTTCTATGCCTTCACTTGCAACAACCAGAACGACTGCACTGAGCAAAATACACAGCACATTGATTGCACGCATGGCGTAAGAGGACGAAGCTTGGGTTTCTTTAGGTTTCTTTAATGGCAGGAATCGCAAACTGACCCCTGTCCACCACCTCCTCATTGTGCTTAGGAGACTCTCTCTGTAAAACGTATTGTCGCGTAATCGTATCTGTTTTTTTTAGGATAGCCTGAGAGGCTGGGACTCAGTTGCGGTAAATGAAGCTGCTGGAGCTGAAACCAGAATATCCGGGTACAGCAGCTGAGGTTGGTAGCTGAAATACTGATATGTACCAGGTAGTGCTGTTGCTTGACTTTGCATTAAGCATCACGTCAGCAAAACCCTTGTTGCCCCGTGAGAAACCAATGGTTTTGTTTGTAGACACGGGCAATTGCAAAGAAATACAGATCCACGGTCAGTTCAGAGTAGTTAGTTTTTTTTCGTTGATAAATTGGTTTGAAGTATCTTCGCCAATAGTGTTCTCCAGAATGATAAAGCTACAGTACAGCAAGGTGCTGCTGTCAGCAACAGGCCATCAGATGACGGGAAATAGTGGTGTTGGTCGGAACAACGCAAACCTAAAATGTAGCTCTGACCTTTCTACGCTGAAATCACTATCTCGTGACGAGGTGATACTTTAGACTTCGTTTAACTGTCATCGGTGGTATTTTATAATTGACCTTTTAGATATTCTCTTTACTGGCGTACACATATTAGACCTTTCCCGCCTAGTATACTTAAAAGTCACGTAGGTTTTATTCCATTTCGATGATTAAATATCTCCTCCTCAACCTACATCAGATCAAAACAAGCGAGTGTCACGCTCTTAATCCCCAAGAAATCCATTTGGATCACGTCCTGGAAACGACCGACGTAGACGAGGTCGAAGATCGGGCTCACCGCCTACTACCGGTGTCTGCTGCTGCTTCACCGTTCGTCGATAACTTTTCGGATATCCAGAATACAGGACTCTCCGATTGCGTTTCGCTTGCTTCATGGCGTTATATCTCGCAATTACCACCGTCATTACGAGAAAAAAGCCGAGAATCACCACCACAGGCAGCACCAACTGACGATAAACCGCAGTCGCTGCAGAGAACAGTGTTTGCTCGGCTGATACGTACCAAGCCAGCATCCGCTTCACTGTGCTTGTACGCTCAGCACTATCTGAAGGTACAGTATTGCTCTTTGCCGAGTCAGAACTTGTCTCTTTCATCAAGTCTCGGTCCTTCTCCCGCATCTTTTCGATCTCTTG